TAAAGGGACAAAGGTAATAAAACAGAAGAATAATGTGTTTGTGAGGGGGGTGCTGGGAGTCACAAATGCAGATTGATACATAGACTGGAACTGATTTGATACTTCAGGTGTTTGCCTCAGGTTTATGTCACTGTAAAGGCGACCCATCAGTACTTTGTGTCATTTTTATTCACCTACAACCAAGATGCCTCTCCACAGTTCACAGATGCTGTTCTTTTATTAACTTTGCTTCTTGGTTTGATCGGTTTCCCCTACCACTAAAAACATGTAATGAGTGGATGAATTGTGTTGGTTGGGGGCTTTGATGCGCCAGTGTGTTTGGCGTCTTGTTTTCGTCAACACCGTGTGGAGAAAATTGAAACATATCTGAACTCTGAACATTGTAAAAGAGCTTTGGGTGACCTTGGTCTGTAAAATGTGCTATATACAGTAAATTAACATGACTTACTTAGTTTGAAATGTTCATCTGGTTCATGACTTGTTTTTCCGATCTCAGACAAATTGCGAGATATCGATGCAATTGTGTGTTTCAACTGTGTCAGTTCAGTTCAGATCAGATTGTTTATTTGAGGTTAGATACAAAAAAAATACAATGTTTGTTAAAATGCTATATAGAGCTCAAAAGGAATAGGCAGACATAATAAAAAAATATATTTATAGACGCTTTATCAGAAATGTCTCGCTGTCACCATGACATGTGTCATCAGTTGATCTTTCCTGGTTCAGTCAGTCTGTGAGCTGTAATGGACTGACTGTTGCTGGAGCAGAGTGTCCCATGTTTTGGAGGATTGTAAGAGGGAGCTTTCTAACTCCCCCACATATAGAGCCATAGCTGCCCTGGGACAGCAGCTGGTTCTACGGACAGAAGCATGTCTAATAATCCGCTACATCAGCCCCTGACACTGACTGTCATTAACCGAAAGTGAGTGTCTCACCTTCAGACACTATAACTTTTGATTCAGAGTAAGGTAAATATAGACAAGCTCTTTTTTTATTTCAGTGGTTGTTATTGTTCAAGGACTGATGTGATAGAGTGTATTTCATAACGTTGGTACTGATTCAGAATTTAGTTGATTTGTATAGCGCAATTCATACACAACGCAACTCAAGTGCTGAACAAAATAAAGACACACAAGGAATTCAAAAGAGTGAAGAAAAAAATACCCCAGTTGTACGCACAGCGAAACAGAACTGTTATTAACCTGGAATTAAACATTTTCAGGGAAGAAGCCAATCTCACATTTTCAGGAAGACTGATCCAGATTCTAGCAGCATGAATCTGAAGTGTTTCCCATGTTTAGTTCTGACTCTGGGCACCAGCAGGAGGTCAGTCCCTGTGCTCGTCAGCGTCTGAGTTGGTTCATATGGCACTAACATGTCACTTAATACTTTGGTGCGAGGCCATGGAGAGACTTGCACACAAGCAGAGCTGAGAATTAACCAAACTTGGTAACATGACAAGCTCAAGCTTTTACAAGCAGGTACATCATTATGATACTGTAGCGCTCTGTGGTGCGCTCAATTATTTAAAGTGCAGTCTCATAAGTCACTGATGGTTTGATTCTCAAATCTTTTGTTGGTAATTTTGTCAAGTCCTTCAAGACGAGTGCTGTTGTAAATTGGGACTCAATTCACACTCACTGGACACGTATTGCAGATTGATCTGATCTTGTAAGAAGATTCAACTCAAGTGAAGAAAAAAGACCAAATATCATCCATTAATAAATAATATTAAGATAAGAGACTTTTATTTGTCCCATAGTGTTATTGTTGTGCATGTTACAGCAGAAAAGAATGAGAAAATAAGAGTATTCAGATTGTACACATCAAAGATAATAGAATACAACGATAAAACAGTATATCATCAAATAAAACTCTGGAGCTACAATTGCACTTGGTTCAAGGCAAAGTCACTAGTGGAGTATACATTGTAGTTTATGTATTTACATTTGTATTGTACTTCAGCAGCAGAGAATACGACCAGAATAAACAATAGTAATAATAGCAGCAGGTAAAGTCACTGATAGATGGAAGAATAATGTAGTAATAGTTAGTTGCTCACAAAAAGTATTTACACCGTGATGAAGGCCACTTTCTTGGCTCTAAACCCCAGTAAACATTCTATCCCAGTAAAAAAGCAGAGTATAGTAGGTGTTCTCTCCATTCAGTCAGCGTTAACAATGAGTCTTAACGAGTTCCGTGATGAAGCCCCTCTTCAGCAGATGGATGCAAACTGCCACCGCCGCCAATTAACTCAGCGCCGTCTAAATAACTTTAGCGCCATTAGCGGCCGTATTTCACAGCTCATTACGGGCGAGTTGATTGGAGGTGGAGGAAAAAAAAAGGAGGAAAAACGATGAAAAGAGGGACACCATTTGCATTTTAGATTTACAATATGCTCTGGAACGTGCAGCAGAAGACAGGCGGGATGAGAAATGGCTAAAAACACTCGAGGCCACATCTGCCGACGAGCCGCGCATCAGCGTAATGAGTGATTAGCGCGGAGTGGACACAATCTGGGCTCGTGTGGTGTTCACCGCAACAAAAAACTACGTGATATTTGGTTTATTGTAACTGTGATTTTCAACTAACGCTTTTATTCAACTCCTTAAAGCGACAGTACGCTCGATTCTGTGGAGAAAATAATAGCTTACAACTTAAATTTTGTTTAATGTTTCTATTATCAACCCGACAGGTGTAAGCTAACAGCTGCCGAGTTCGCTACAGGACGTGTCATCGGCCTTCATCAGTAAAATGACGTATGCGACAGTTCAACTCGACAAGAAAGGGGCCGCTATCACACAGTAGCAGTGTGGTTTGACAGGAGCAGTTGACGAAACAAAACTTCATACAAAACTTTAAAAAAAAAACGTATAACCCAAATATCACAACATGGAACCATCAACATCTCACCTCAAGTTGCATTAAAAGTGACATCCGTGTCTTAATTTGTTCATATTTAAACTTTCAAAGCAATTCACTGACTTTGCTGCTGTATCCACCGCTTCTGCCGCGCCGCAAAAATGTGTCTGCCGTGCCGGACAACCCCACAGGCCGTGACGTACATGTGAATATTCACATCGATGTATGTCACCATTAGCTTTGCGTGTAAACTCGCTGCAACGCATGATCTGGTGTGAACGCCCCATTAGGGAGCACTCTGTGGAGGAACCTTCCTAAACTAGCAAAAAATAGACTAAGCCCTAATTGAGAATGGCAGTAAAAAGTTGTTATAAAATGGGTTTAACACCTCTGGTGAAGGTGAAACATCCTTCCCCCTAAGTGCCTGACTACACTGGCTGAGGATGAGGCGTACACAAGGTAACCCAGATTGGAAGCCACTGCTGTAGATCATTAAAATCTGAACATTTGAAACCAGCAACAGGTGAATGGAGCCAGAGGCAGTAGGAGCCAAAGTTCCCTATTAGGATTTATCTTGCCGGTGGGTCAGCTCTGTCCGTGCCTATTACACAGTGTACATGCACAAAACCAGCTCTAACCCCAGCGTTGTTAGTGTATTCAAAGTGAGCAGATGAGTGAGTGTGTGTTTGCGGTGTGGCCTGCAGACACATCACGCTGCTGCCTCCCTCAGCTCACTCTGTCCTTGAGCATCAGCTCTGGCCTCACTTTGACACAGAGCCAAAGGGAGCGGGTGTCCACAGCGCAAACGCTAACAGCTTCTGCACTGGGCTGTATGCTAGACTGGTGCAAGGGCTGCGGGCTCATACAGGAATACACACTTTCAGACGCTTGGATGAGTGTGCGAGAGACGCCTGATAGCAGGTGATGATGACCCACCTGTGCTCTTCAGGATCATAGACATGTTAGATCTTATACTTTAGAAATGTTGAACGTTTGGAAGAATTTCAGATCACATCATGAACCGTAGAAGTAGTGGACTAACCAAGCGCTGACACCTATAGAGTCTTATCGTGGAACTTTTTGAGCGGGAGTGGAAATGTACAGACTTTGTGGGTACCACAATCAAGTAACCACGAGCCAATCAGGTTAAGATAACATTTTACATATAAATGTAAATAAATAAACTATTATGGGTATTATCCCTGCACTATAAATATGATATAATATCTTTCAGAAGACACACAATATAAATCTAACCATCTCAATTGACCTGCTGATTGCCTGGTCCTGTGCTCAGACTTTTACTCCTGAATGAGTGGGGAGCAGCCAGTGTGCAGTCATAACACATAATAATCCACGATCACTTATTCTTATGGCTTTAGTGAGTTCAAACTGTGTCAATGAGGCTCTTCAAATAGCTGTCTGCTGCTGCTCTTGTGCTGCTCTGCTGATGAGGCTTTGAGGCGCACAGCTACTCAAACAAGCGCTCTGGCCGCCATGGGCTGGACACAGGGCCCAGGGGAACCGCCTTCACTGGGGGGTGGTAACGGTACTGCACATTTTGATGGCATTTTTACTTTCCATTAAGATGACGTTTGCAACTTGTATACACATCTCTGAATGTTTGAAACTCATCAAGAGGCGCAGCGGTTAGAGCTTGTGTTTTACAGCAAGAAGGCCCTGGGTTCGATTCCACCTCCAGGTCTTTTCTGTGGGGACTTTGCATGTTCTCCCCGTATCTGCATAGGTTTCCTCCAGGTGCTCCAGTTTCCCCTACTGCTGAAAACATGCACAATAGGTAAATCCTGCAGCTCCAGCAGTCCTGACCAAGCCGAGCATCAACATCTGGAGATGGGTCCCTCGGCGCTGTACCACAGCGACCACTGCTCCTAACAGGCATTTGTAGTGTGGGTCAAATGCAAAGAAGATAAAATACTGGTATACCTCCTGAAATCTTGCAAACGTTTGAGTGTTAATCATTCACTTCTCAAAGCCGTTCAGATAACGACATAACCGCAGTAACTGTCGTCTTTACAATATTAATAATCACATGAAACCATAAAAACGCACTCCTCATCTGCTTACAATGTTCCACTGCGCACAAACAAGCGCGCGCTCATTACCTCCTGTCCTTTTCCTTAATCGCTGTCGTTGTGTTTTGTTGTCGAGGGCGCCGCGCTGAGTTGGCGGTCCGACCTGCAGGACCCCAAGGGCACCAGCGCTCTCCGGTGTAAACGCTCGGGCGGCAAGAAGTCGCTAATTAACCCGTGTCCCACAAGGGTACGGCCGATCTCGTCATTAAGGTCATTGTGTGGGGTCCGCATATTAACGAGCTGTTTGATGGTGGGGGTGACCGGGGATGACAGGGGGGAGACAGGGGGGTGTAGGTCTGCAGCATATGCATTGCAAATTGGGATTATGGGCGAAGGTCCCCACGGGGTACTGTTTAGACCTGGATGTAAACAAATGGAGGTGGGAGTGAGAAAGGCAACAGATTTAGAAATAATGTGTGTAGATAAGAAATATTATGAAAAACCAGCAGCCGTAATAAAACTGGGCCACAAACGGCAAATGGCATCAAATTGTTTTTTGTTCTGTATTTGTGCCTGGAGTCAATTGTAGCAGGAGTTGTTTTGTTACATACAGTGTCCGTGTGGGAACATCACTTTGGAGAGCTTCAATAAAACGAAATAGGTTTTAAATTGTTGTACAACAAACAACCACAAATGTCGTTTTTATGGAAGACTTTATATCTGTAAAAATAGCAATTATTATTGTATTTTCCGGGGAACAAAAAAAGGATTACTTATTCTAATCAATAAAATCATTTGGAACAATTCAGTCTAACAATAATGAAAGTAGGGCATATAGCTAAAAATTTTCTTCCCCTTTAGTAATCAATTTCTGGGTCGGGGAGTGACAATCAGAGCTGCCACCCAAGGCCACTGCTCATCCTCCTGCAGGTGGTGGGTCCTTAGTTGCTTAGTCAGCAACGAGTGTCTTGTTTCTTGCCCAGGGACACAACAGCCAATTTAGGCTGCAGGATGACGAGTTTTGAGCAAGTTTTGAGCAAGTTTTGGAGAGATGAATACCATATAAGATAAGATATCATAATTGCTCTGTAGGCGTCTCAGTGGTGTCAGGATAAAACAGTCTCCAAGAGACAGACATTTAAGTGATCTTAAAATGAGTATATTGGTCCATCAATTATTGAACGATATGTAGATACTGAAAGGTCCACACAGTTAGAAGCATAGAACATATTGCAGTAGGAGTAGACTGACCGAGTACGGAGTCACCCATAGTGTAACGGGCAGATGTGCTGCTAAGATGGTTTCTGAGGCAAGCTGGGTTTTCCCCCTCGATAGTTTCCCCCTTGTCAAACTTTGTCCTTGAGCACTTCCCTATTGGGCTTCATTGAACTGGCGGGTTAGCATTGTCTATCTATAGGTAAGGTAGTCAATAGATACAGTATATAGATAGATAGATGGATGGATAGATAGATACTTTATTGATCCCCTTAAGAGAATAGGAAGACTTGTGAACACCTCTATTTAAATATTATGAAAAGCTTTATAAGGCTAGTAAATACACTGAACACTATAGCAATGTACTTAAGGGACATGTTAGTGCCATCTGAACCAAATCGGACTCTGAGGAGCACAGGGACTGGCCTCGTGCTGGTAAACAAAGTCAGGACTAAACATGCAGTCTACATTTCAGATTCATGCAGCTAAAATCTGGAACAGTCTTCCTGAAAATGTGAAACAGGCCTCTTCTCTGACAATATTCAAATCCAGGTTAAAAATAGTTCTACTTAGCTGTGCTACAACTGAGGGGTTTTATATTCACTCTTTTTCATGTACTGTGATTCATTATTATTTTAATGCCTTGTGTGATGCCTTGCCTTGCTTCTATTAGTAATAATTATAAGTCTGAGGAATAACTTTTTACTCCAGTTGTGATTATTGCACGCTGTATTCCTTCAAAGTCTCTGTCGTTGCTTTACATCTGCCTCCCCTCTAACACGCAGTGAATCTAATTGGTGTAAATATGCTAAGGTCTGCTTAATTACAGCGTCTGCAATTAGTATCAGTGCTGCCGCTTTCACGACTACACTGCCTTCTCCTGCGCAACGCTCGGGTTTGAGTAATGAATGAGTATGTTTTTCTAATCACACACAATTTGAAGTGATTACTCGCAACAGCACCACATTATCCAAAACAAACAAGGAGCTGGATTTGGTTTTAGGGAGAAGTAAAAGAAATGTACACGTTGTAATATTATCATCTTTATGTGTTTGGATCAGGGCTGCAGCTGGATGTGGTCATTGAGTAATATATCAATTATAACTTCTAGAAAAGCAGGGGTACCCAACTTTTCAGAAATAATACATGTTGTTTGTCCCAACTTGGGCAGGGTGATGAAACAATAACAATATAAACAGCAATAGACATAAATATCAATAGAAAATAGGGTTGATAGAATGTTTGATAATTTCACTATTTTCAAAAAAAAGGGAAAAGAGTTTAGCCTGAGTTGTACTAAATTAAATGTTTTGTTGGCTTAAGCATTTATTTAATGTCTACATCTGCGCATCAACCAGTATTTAGATTTTTTTGGCTGTTTTTTTATAATGTTGACCTCAATTTAAATAAAAGTTCTTCCTTTATTTAGAATAGATTTAAAAAAATTAATCAATAGTTATCACCCAGCCCAAGTCCCAACAGAGTCTTGTGAAAGTGCTGTCTTTACTTAAAAAACATGTGTGAGTCACTATTTGACACTTTGGGCTGAAGAATTAAGTACAACATCTCTGATTTTAGCGTTGTAAGAAGTCAAAACACCGAGACTATTCATGAGACTGTGTTGTATGTTATAAGGGTAATTCAACAATAAAAAATACTGTGAAGAAAAAGGAAAAATCCGAGGCACTCTTGGCAATAAAACGAAAATCTTTTAATCCTTCTTCAGGGCTTGTGTTAAACCTCAAGGTGTTGACTTAAGTCGACTATGTGTATTATTTCAATGGCCGATTGTGTCCAGCAGGGTGTCAAAAGTTGTATTCGAACTCCCTGCCACACAATGATTTGTTTTACTATTTCCCTGACCATTGAATATAGTACAATGTGAGTTTTGTTTGTGTGTTCCTGTCCTAGTAATTTGTTTGTCTGCCAGTAAAAAAACATATTTTTAAGTTGAAAATCCACGATTGCCGCCACCATATGAAGTAATATGCAAATTCGATGCGTAAATTTGATTCCTACATAAACATTGGGCCATCCTTATAATTTCTCCAATTCATATAAATCCTCTATCTCTTGTCGCTTTTAAGTTGTTAAGAAATTCCAACGTCAAATTTGAGCCTTTTAGGAAAAAACCTCTGGCGCCTAAAGGGTTAAGACTACTGGGTATCAGGTGTGGTTTAAGTGTAATCCACAATAAACAACAAAGAACTGAAAAAAATGCATTAAATAAAGAATACAGCTTTTCACTTCCTCCAGTGCAGTTCGATTACAGCAGCCTTTGCACATATCCTCGTTGATTAAGCCTTTAGTTTGAGTCCTCCCCTGGGGCTGGCTGTCATGGCGGCATGGGGAGATCCTGGCTGGCGTCCCGCTCCTCTCTCTTTTGTCCAGTAGACTCTCCTCCCTCCTGTTGCGGCACGGTCAGTTCTGCCGCCTAGTAATGGTCCACACTGAGCAGGCGTCCTCTTCACACTGTCCATGCTGCTCTGGACAGGGCCAGGCCGGGACAGATGGAGCGGGCAGACTGGAGGAGACAAGTGGTGTCAGTGTGCAGTGCAGCGCATACAAATGTCATTCAGAGAAAACAGAGATAGTCATGAGCTACGATTGAGCTCTGTTTGGTTATTTAGTAAGTAAGCAGTAGTGAGTAATCTTTATTCATATAGCACCTTTCACAGACCAGAGTCACAAAGTGCTTTACAATAGTTGTTTTGGTGCATTTGTCTTTCACTCCACACACAGAGCGATGGGATGCCGGACCTATTGTACATGTTTTTAGTGGTAGGGGAAACCGGAGCACATGGAGGAAACCTATACACATAGGGAGAACATGGAAACTCCACACGGAAAGGCCTGGAGGTGGAATCAAACCCAGGACCTTCTTGGTGTGTAGCTCAAGCGGCACGTGGCGTCTATTTAGCTGTACATACCATGAAAGTGAAGCTTAAGCAGACTGGGAGACTAAAGGCACGTCATGCTGCCACACTGGCTCGTCTACACACCTGCACGGAGCTCAACAGCAATCAGCCTCAGCTGCTCAGTAACTCACTTGTGCTCATCATGGCTGCATTTAGTCAGAGCCTCTCACTTCACTGCAGCAACTCAAGCTGCTGTTTGAGCAGCAACCCACCTCCTCCCCATCAACGCCTTTTCAGTGGAGCATCATGTCATGTCTTCGACTCGGCTTCTCCGCCACAGGCTCTAGGCCTCTGTTGATGGTCTGTTGATGGTCCCCCGGACTCGTTTCAAAACCAGAGGAGACAGATCCTTCCAGGCAGTTGCTCCTCGCCTTTGGAATGAGCTTCCTCAGTCTCTGCGTATCGTAGAGACTGTTGATGATTTTAAGTCCCAACTAAAGACACATTTGTTTGGACAGGCTTTCTCGCACCATTGTTCATAGGCCTCTGTGAATGTAAATTGTGTTTTCTGTGTTTGTTTTATCTGACTTGTATGTGTATTTTGTATTTTAATGTGTGAAGCGCTTTGTGACCCTGGTCTGTGAAAGGCGCTATACAAATAAACTTTACTTACTTACTTACTTACTTAGGCCCCGGGGTGTTTCTATTAAACTTGCTTCTGCATACATCATACAGTATTCCCACCGGGATCTAATTTCCAAAGCTTATCAATAAATATAATAGTACTCAATCTAAGTCTGTCAAGCTGCTGGATGCAGCTTGACAACAAACATTCTAATGCAATCTTTGTTGATCTCGCTCCTCGCTCTCGAAACAGTCTGGGTTTATATCTATAGTTTTAGAAAAGTTTTGGGCAGCTTTCAAAGAGATGCCACGAGAGTCAACTCATTGAATGCTCACACAGACCTTTGGGAAGCCGCCATGTCACTAATAATGTCTAAAAGTCGGTTGTTGACACAATATGTTTATGATGCAAATTAATTACATACAGGTGAAACTATGAAAATTACAATATTGTTCAAAAGTGCATTTGAGTCTGAAGTTAGACTTGAAACGAATTAATGACAGACTGTGAGTTAAAAGTGACAAGTTACAGTATGCACATATTTTTGGCCTCTGTTTGGCCATGTTATATAAATGAGGGCCATTGACTCAAAAGGTGATTTACCAAATAGTTGAGGAAACCAGTGTCAATAAAGTCTAAATGAAAATAAAATAAATATGTGTTTAAAAATCTTGGTATCAGTCCACAGAGCTGTCCTGCTGTAGAGCTACATATGCGTCCATCTGCTGCCGTATGCTGTCGCCTGAACCACTCGCTTCCATATTTGGATTTGTGTTTTTACCTTTTGCAGGTGCACACTCCGCACACGCCACACGCACCGCTCTCCATATGCCGCAGGATTACAGCAGCACTGTCAGAACTTCCACTGGATCATGTTCAACACAACAGTCAGGCCGCAGGGATCTCCAGACTCAGCCATCAACAACAAGAAGTGCTTTGCTACTCAACGACGAGAATACTTTATTGTCTGTTTGTTGTATTCTGTTTTAATCTGTAGCACTTTGAGGCTTTCTGGAAATAAAAGGTGTAATATAAATAAAATTTGAAAAAATATTATCATGATTATTAGTTTTCTGCACAGACAGTTTCTAAAGTGTTGCCAACATCTAACTGACACTTTCCCATGTGGGTTAGGGTTAAGGGTTAAGGGTTAAGGTTAAGGGTTAAGGTTAAGGGTTAGGGTGAAGGTGAAGGTTAAGGTTAAGGTTAAGGTTAAGGTTAAGGTTAAGGTTAGGGTACACATGGGGCCAGGTTGAATGAGGACTAATACTTAACTTACTTGATAAATAGATAAATTACACATGTCATTATTATTATGATGCATTGTTGGTTGTAAGTCTGACCAAGAATGTGTCTCTGCAGTGAGCTTTTGAGTTTTTGTCAACTGTCGTCGTCCAATTGTGTTCTGTGGAATGATTCAGTTTTAATCAAAACTAAACATGCTATTATTACTACTGTCACTGCAACACGTCCAGCAGAGCCGCTTTTCATGAAAGGTTTTTTCACCCAGGCAAAGTTTGACAATTATATCTGAATCCCCGTGTGCAAACAGAGACTGCAAAACCAATTATCAATGATTACAATATTTGAATGCACAAGGGGCGACCAATGATGCCTTTAAGGTCAGAAAATCAGAAATGATTAAGTTATGCAGAAATAATATTCAGTTATGAGGTCCACAGGAAAGCGGTGATTGTTATCCCAAAACGGCAGACAAAATACCAACGAATGCGGAATAATAATTGGACGTTTAACCTATTTTAATCGGACAAATGGGAGAATACAGACAGCCAATTATGGGATAGGGTTCCAGTCGAATAAAATGGTATGGTATGGCGTAAGGGCTGCCAGTCTTGGAACAGATTTGATACACTGCATGTGGCTCAGAAATGATGAAAAAATGCCACTGTCGTACTGGTCCACTGTTGCAAAGTTTAAGAGTAATTGGACCAGAGAATCAAAACCATTCATTAAAATGTTGCTGATTATTGGGATAATAGGCAATTCATGATTCTTAATACTCATCTAATTTTATTATGTTACGTTGCAAACTGTTTCAATAAAAAGCATTGAACCACTAGAAGACCAAATGCAAAGATCATATCAAGTTCTCTATTCAAATCCATTTGTTATTTCCTTGGACAAATGGAGGCTTATCTGTGCGGAGCTTGCATGTTCTCCCCATGTCTGAGTAGGTTTTGTTTGGAATGTAGTGAGTTAGTGAAGGAGGGTGATGATCGGAGGCTCCAGGTTCTTGGCGTCTTGTTTCTATCGTCCCTGTGTGTGGAGAGAATGGAAATTACATCCAATTGTAATGTGCTTTGTGTGACCATTGGTCTGAGAAATGTGCCTTATAAAAAAGGGGACTTACTTATTTGACGATTTGTTTACAATAGCATTCAACATATAGAAGTAATTTTATGAAGATTTTGCTACTAATGCCTTTACTTTTTATTCTTTATACCTTTTACAACTTGTTTGCTACTTGAGTCGAAGCATATTCCTTGGTTGTGACCAAGGAAATAAAAACAAAATTGGATTCTGAATAAGTTATGGTTGGATAATTAAAAGATTTTAAAGTTACCTTGTAAATGGGACAAGGAACAAAATATTTTTTTAAGGAATAAAACTGTGTCACTTGGCAGAGATATGCGCTCTACGAGTGCTTTACTAGTTCATATTGTGCGCAACGCTACATCTCCACTGGCATTGAGTGGAACCAGGACTAGCCAGTGTGCTTCATAAAAAGGGTTTGCGGTGTATGGGACTTAACATAACCTTAAACTGATTTTGATATAAAAGCTTAAACAAAATCTACATTAGGGAGTCCCCATTTGGACTGGTATCGACACACAGTTTGAGCCGGGCCCTCAGCCCAGCTCAGCAGCCCCCCCGTCTGTGCTGTGTGCCAGGCCTCCTCACCTCCTCCTCACCTCCTCCTCTCCATCAGCCTCCATCACCATGATCACTTGTGGAGATGGCTCCATAATGACATTCTGCTCTGTTTGGCAGCACAGCTCACGGTGACATGGCAGTGGACCAAAGCCCACTCCACACATGTGCACAGACACATACAAGCAGATACAGGAGGGGCAGGCCAGCCAAGCAACAAGAGCAATTCTATTAGGGTGGGTCGAATTATTGTCAAAGATCTCTCCCTGGACTTGCTGATTTATCAATATTGCTAAATAAACATACACAAAACAATGAAATGTCATTCAAATTGTCCAACCCAGCAAAGGAAAGGTGAATGGTCAGAGGGTTTTGGGTGTGTCTGTGCGTGTGCGTGCGTGTAGTGTGGGTTGGAGCCCAAAACGGATTTTTATGGGGTAAGGTTACTGCAAATAAAGATATGCATGTCTAAAAAAAATGCGTGCATATTTATTGGTATTTGTGCATAAAAATATTTTATTAATTCATGATTAAGATAATACAAACTAAAAATACATGGAATTTAGTAATTAAGAATAAAAAAATATAAAACTGTACGTGTGATTTTGTTTTTGTGAATGCGATTTTTTTTTTTTATGTGCTTGCATTTTCTTTTTGAGAATACGAATTTCAGCAGTCAGCAAACTGTCAATATTACGTCACTGCTCACAGACATTAACAATCGAGCCTGCGCAGAGTTGATCAACTTCATTGCCCCAAAACTAAACATGGCAGAGGGACACAACATAAATAAAGTGGCTCAAAATCAGGTATATAACTATATTTTATCATTTTGGTTGTAAATGAATGTGTCCATCCATCCATCCATTTTCTACCCTTTAATCCATTTCTGGGTCAGGGGGGTGGCAATCAGAGATGCCACCCAAGTCTCATAGCACCAGCCCCTCACTGACCCTCTGCAGGTGGTGAGTCCACAGGAGGACGGCTGCTCTCTGAGTGTGAGCATAGCCTTGATCTTTCAGTGGGGGCTTTGGGCAAAGTGGGGTTAAGTGTCTTGCCCAAGGACACAACGACAGCAGTCATCAGTGGGATGAATGAATGTGTAAGAAATATTAATTCCATAAATGTGTTCATAAGAAGATGTTTGTTGTCCCTCTAAAGGTTTTTTGGCAGTGTTGTTAGCTCCAATGCTATGTTTCATTTTCTTATCCTTATATTGATTTATTCTACAGAAAATAATGCATTTATTTGAGTCTAAACAACAGACTAACTAGTGTTACTGAACTAGTGAGTAAAAGTAATGTGTCAAATGTACAAATATAAGTTACGTCTAACAACCAAGGGTGAGTATAGCACGGAGGTGTTCTTCATATTGCTCAGGGGCAGTAACAGCGCGAACTATGAATAATCTGGAGGGTTGGGGCTGGTATCAACACATTAATCCCATTGATTCGGGGCAAAGGCTTCATAAAATGTAAATGCTAAGAATGTAAACATATTGGTTTTAAAATAACATGGTAAGCTGTAAAACTAGCATTGAAGCTAGCGTTAACTAAACACTGCCTAAAAAAACGTTTCTAGAGAGGGACAAGAAACATCTTATGAACACATTTTATGGAATTAATATTTCGTACACATTTATTTACGACCAAAATGATCAAATATAGTTATATACCTGATTTTTAGCCACATTGTTAATGTTGTTGCCCTCTGCCATGATCAACTCTGTGCAGGCTCGATTGTTAATGTCTGTGAGCAGTGACGTATTATTGACAGTTTGCTGCTGAAATTCGTATTCTCAAAAAGAAAATGCAAGCACACACAAAAATCGCATTCACAAAAACAAAATCACACATACAGTTTTATATTTTTTTATTCTTAATTACGAAATTCCATGTCTTTTTTGTTTGTATTATCTTAATCATGAATTAATAAAATATTTGTATGCACAAATACCAATAAATATGCACGCATTTTTTTTTAGACATGCATATCTTTATTGACAGTAACCTTACCCCATAGATTTTCTTCATCCAACCCTTTTTCAAAATGTATTTTTAAATTGAACTTGTATCTTGTTTGTTTTCTGTTCTGCTGTATACAAATATGAGTAAAGTAATTCTCATAATAACAAAAAAGATGAATGTCGCAGTCTATGCCCCTTCCTTAGTATGAGAGAAACCTTGAGAATATCCACACTGACAGAGAGATCCACTCTCATGGACAGACAGGCTGCAAATTAAAGCTTGACCTTAATTTAACTAGGAAACGCCAACTCCCCAGACAGAGCAGAGTTATTGCATTGTTTTGTTTTTAGTGGTAGAGAATGCTACAGAGGTGAAGGGAGCCTGAACGTCTAAAATGAGAATAAATCAGATCTCTATTTTCATTTGCATTCTAGCAAGAAAGGGAGGTCCTCTCTTTTTCACTTTTCTGTTTAAACATTTTGAAAAATAGCGATAGAACCAAGCTTTTGGATTTAATCACGTAGTTGCACTTGTTTGTGGCCTGAACGTTTGTAACCCCAGCTTTAATAAATTAATTGTTGCACTGGGAGATTTGTCATTATAGAGCATAAAATTAAATAATGTAAAATATACACTTGTTTTCTCCTACATTTAAAACCCCATTCCCTGGATCACACCACTTTACACTACACTTAACCATCTTAATAAAACTCATACATTATTGCATTTTATGATGATTCTTTCATTTGTAAACACATGGAACCATCTATGAACCCAACAAATTGCCAAACCGTCTACCACATATGTCTGGAACTATTTATGTGTGTGTATATATATATAGGCCAATTCTGTTTTTATGCAGAACCAAGATGGCTGAAGGTGACCGGCGGCGCGCTGGGAGCAGCTTTGGCAGCGGCGTGGACAGCCCTGATAGAGACCAGGTGGGACATGTTCTGCTAAGCGCTCGCGTCTTCGGCCTGATAGATATAAACAGCTGTTATTCTTGGTAATGGAGAGCAATTAGAAACATCTGCAGACTTGGCCCACCGTTGCCACAGACTGATCCCAAAAGGACAAAACTGCAGCACCAAGAGAGGGAGCTACAGAGCTGAGGAGAGGCTGAATGTGTAATGTGATCTTGTGACTTAAATGAAGGAGAAGTGGAGAGTCTTATCTGTGGAGAAGAGAGCGGATCCAATCTACCAAGTCAGGTTATTCAGCAGGAGGGACATTCCGAGCAAAGAAACAACATAGACAACATGGGGTGCCACTATTAAATACACCATCAAATTATTAATGGGATAATCCTTTAATTAATCATAATTGGAAATGATGAAACCATTAAAAGTAAATAGGAGGATTTTCTACTTCCAGGTGGATCCTCAGGTCGATTAGTCCTAATTATCAATCATTCTGGTGATATATACTTTTCAAACAAGACGAGTTCTTTCCTAAAATTGGGGAAACTCCTCCTACAAACATTTAATCATTTGAATATACATCGAAACAATTGAGCTGATATTTTCAATCATATATTTAAAACAGGTATGTCGTCACTTTGCTTCCGTCATCACCGTTTGGAGAGAATGAAACAATATCTGAACTCTGAACATTGTAAAACGCTTTGGGTGAGAAAAAAGTATGTTTTTCCCTGAACATATTAGTTCACGGCCGGGTCAGGGAGCCAAATACTGACGCAGAGGTATTCACAAAAATATATCGGATCACAATGCTGACACAGGATCACGGAGACAGACCGGGAAAGACAGACAATATACATCATCCAACTGACAGATGACATTTGGTTGTGATAAGTCAATGCAAGTTGAATTGTGTATCCAAAAAAGGAAATTACAAATAACGTTTTAACTCCTCCCTGACGCTCAAAAAAAAAGTATATAAGCAAGCTGTGTAAATGTCAAAGAGAGTCTCTGATTGCATGTTCCGCTCCAACTTGAACTCCCGTCCATCATATAAGCATATAAAGACCTTCCTCCACAAACCACAGAGTTGAGTATTTGTTTAAAAACATTTCTCGGATTCATGTCGTTGTTTTAAGCCACATGAGTGAGTGTTCCAGATATCTAACAACTGTGTTTATGCAGGCCCTCCGATCACCATATCATCATATATAATCAATTAACCCTGATTTTAGGTGACTTTGATTAAAATGCACTTATGTCTAAGTATTTCATGAATTTTTTATATAGAGAGACATTCCAAATCAATGTGCGGCCTTGTAATTTTGGCCTCTGACTTTTGGCGAACTCCAACCCTAACCCTAATTATAAGTGGTAACAATCTCTGCACAAAGATTTAACTCCAATGTCCACCTACTGACTTTTATGACTGTAATCCATTTGTCGCAGTCCGAGTGCATTAGACCCATGTTACAATATTGTTTTCTTGTCATAAGCAGACCTGGAGTTGTTTTTAGATCGATACATTGCTAGTATCAGGAACTTCTGGTGCAAAAATGTAGCTGTCTTAAAGCCTCTGTTTTAATTCCAGTCTCAATGGCAATTCTCAATGGCCAAAAATAATGTATCATATTTATTCTTCCTCTTCCTTCCTTCTACTAAATGCATCAACCCAAATTCTTAAATATGCATTCAAATACCCCTTCAAGTCACACATCAAAGTTCAGACAAAGCTCAGATGTATTGATATTTTTCTGGCCTGGCCATACTGTTAAACTCTGTACAACCTCCAAAGTAAACATATCACACTGGTGGGCAAAAGGTGGCCCAAATAAAGGTTTCTGAAGCCTGTCAGTGTATGTCCTAAAATCAAATTGCCATGTAGTGGTAGTTTCTGCAAATGTGAAATGAACGCTTGTCTAGTCTTTGAAAACAAATGATTTCAAATGTCATAAAGTCCTCGACAATGTGGCAGCGGTGGTTTGGTTTGGCAGTGGCGCGTGGGGCCGTGACCACAGAGCTGTTTTATGTCCCTCTGTAATGGCGCCCTCGTAACGCTTACAACAGCAAGTTCTTTGGCCCGAGTCACGGTCTCTCTGGTCTTCACGGTCTCTTACAGTCTCTCTGGTCTTCACGGTCTCTTACAGTCTCTCTGGTCTTCACGGTCTCTCACAGTCTCTCTGGTCTTCACGGTCTCTTACAGTCTCTCTGGTCTTCACGGTCTCTCACAGTCTCTCTGGTCTTCACGGTCTCTCACAGTCTCTCTGGTCTTCACGGCCTCTTACAGTCTCTCTGGTCTTCACGGCCTCTTACAGTCTCTCTGGTCTTCACGGCCTCTTACAGTCTCTCTGGTCTTCACGGTCTCTCACAGTCTCTCTGGTCTTCACGGCCTCTTACAGTCTCTCTGGTCTTCACGGTCTCTCTGGTCTTCACGGTCTCTCTGGAAGAAGCCTGTCCCACAATTTTCAGGAAGACTGTTCTTTTTAAAATAGTATCTGCATAAATCTGAAATTCAGACACCCCATATTTAGTTCTGACTCTGTGCTCCAGTTGGTTCATATGGCACTATAAGGTGGAAGGTCATGGAGAGAGTTACGGGAAAGTAACGGTATTCTGAATAGTTACTCAAAAATAATATTCTCAAAACCCGTCCCGGTACATTTCTTTATTATGCTACAGTCAGAGCTTTTACACTTAAATCTTGCTTCTTCATCATGTAATACATTTTATGTCATTGTATTTTAATACATATTCATTGTTAATTTATCTTGTGCTGTGTGCTCCTCCTTCCTACTGCTCTGTAACCCACTGTGGGACGAATAAAAGATCTCTACTATCTTAATCTCACATGTATTATGTTAGTCCCCAACAGTACAGCAGTTCTCTGGCCATCATGCAGATGTAAACAGCTGTATGAAGAGTTCTCCACAGTCTCCCCCTCTTCCCCAGAGCCTCAGAGCCTCCTCCTTCGTAGACGTTTCCGGTGACAAACGCGATTTACCCCGGCCGTGCTGAAAGCGCTGCAGCGGTGTTACTTTAGCAGAGACGGTGGGGCGCATTAGCGTGGCGGCGGGGTTTTTAATGAGGCCGAGCGCTCTGGAGGCCAAGCCAGGCTGCTCATGCGGCTGAGGCAGATGAGGAGTGAAGTGCAGAGCTGGAGATGCTAATCGCGCCCTGGGACACACCCCGAGAGAGAGGGAGACGAGCCAAGATTTGTGAAGGAGACGTATCATGGTTTATTTACATATTACCATTATTCCACGTTCAAAGTACATGGAGCACAACGGCATTGACATATTTGAAAAGCGTATTTAGCAACTGTATATTACTTGCACTAGAACATACAGAAATTCATATTGACTGCTTCTTATTATGCTCAAGTCAGGGGTTTTAGTACTTAATTCTCACTTCTTCATCATGTTAAAGTTGGAGATTGTAGACTTCTTTCCATTTTATGCTAAAGACAGAGATTTTATACTGCTTCTCTTTATGCTTGAGTTACAGATGTCATTTTATCTTATTTTATTATAGCGTTAGTATTAATTTATGCTGGATCCCGTCAGATCTCTTAAGCTAAGCAGGACAGGGCCTGGTTATTACTGTGATGGGAGACCTCTGGGAACAGTAGGGCGGCTGCAGCTGTAAAGTGCCAAACTTCACCAACATTGCCTAGAATGAGTTTGGTGTGTGTGTGAATGGTTGGTGGTGGTCGGAGGGGCTGATGGCACATTCTGGTTGCCTTGCTTCTGTCAGTGTGCCCCAGGGCAGTTTATCCCCACTGTGCATGGAGTGAATGAATTATGTAGCGTCTTTGAGTGTCCAAAAAAGCAGTATATAAAAGCAATGCATTATTGATCATATTATTATTACCTTGTGCTGTGTGCTCCTCATTCCTAATGTTCTGTAAGTTATGATGCAACACTGAAATTGCCCCACTGTGGATGTCTTAATCTTTACCTGAATCTTAGACCGCACCCTATCAATCAATCAATCAATAAAATGTTATTTATAAAGCGCTTTTTCATACAAAAAAACTGCAACACAAATTGATTTACAGTTTATTTAAAAACAATCCAAGATGCCCACCCCTGAACCCCACCGCCCCACAGACCCCCCCATAATCAGGTTTATTGATAACTATACACCCACATGCATACAAACATAAAAACGCACGCACATACACACAGGTAAAATAGGTAAAACTATGAAAAGATATAGAGCTGGGTGCAGATGTATCCAGCTGAAGAAGCGCCATCCAAGGAGCCATCTGAACCAGGAGCAGAGAGCCGCTTGCAGCCACAGGGGACGACACAGGACCCAGAGGAGAGAGGAGGCCCCGGACCCCCACCGGGTCCAGGAGTCAGACCCCCATAGGACCCAGAGGAGAGAGGAGGGACCAGACCCCCACTAGATCCAAGAGCCAGACCCCCGCAGCCACAGCAGACCCCAGCTCCCGGTGCAGAGGGCTCCTCCAGAGGAAACACTGGGAATACTAAAACAATACATTAAAAGTAAAACATTAAATTGTGAGACTCAAAAGAAAATGGCAGCTACCTAATATTAATAATAAGAATAGTAAATGACAAAATGAATAAAATAAATCAACCTACATTCACATTAGTCACATAAACAGTCTGGTTTTCAAATGCATGTGTTTTTGTTTGTCTTTGTTACATCTTTTGATCGGCTTTTTAATGAAAAGGAGAGGACCACCCTCACAAAGCCAATCAGCCTTCGGCTCTAAAATGCCAAAAATTCTAGAGCATGTTGTGCTCTGCTTTGTTCACATTTTACTTTTGCAAGACTCTGGTGGGACAAATGGGGTTCTTTATGAGGGGAAGAAGTTACCCCAGCCTTAAAGTTTAGTTATCAAGAAAAGAGACAAAATCCTAGAAACTGATGGACAGAGGTGTAGGGCCAGAGAGTGTTTTGACGTGTGTGTGTGTGTGCGTGTGTGTGTGCTTGATATTGTGTTGTATGAGTGAGGGGTTGGAAATCACATTCAATTAAACACATTTTTGTATAGCAATAAAACCAAAATATCTGTTGTCTCAGAGGACTTTACAAAGTTGTCAATTCACCAACAGCGGAAAACCAACCGGTTTGAACACAGGAAATGTAATAATAACAAACACATTGGAGCCATTGGTCCATAGGGGGCAGGATGACCAATGTCCATAAAGGTCCCGGATCATCATTGTCCTTAGCCTTACTGTCCAATCCCTTTTTCAAACTGTGTATTAAGGTAACTTTTTGAAAATATGAATTACTATTCCTGTTATTTTTAGGAAAATGACAGGCGAGCCTTAAACAGTAGTTCAAGACCCTTCCCCAACAATGTGGTCCCCTTCCGACTGCCGCTGCCCTCCTGCTGACATGTTGACTCAGTGACATCACACGTCCCATTGAGGGCGTGTCCCGTGTCCCCGCCGGCCGTCCGTCACGCTAAAGACGTCGTTACTGCAGGACATTTAGCAGAGCAGCTGTTTGATCTGGAGCAGTGACAGCGGTGCTTTCTAATGGCAGTCTACGGGACAAGGACGGAGGCCGAGGTTAAAGAATGTTTCCTGATGTTACTGCTCAGAGAGGGATCTGAATGTGAGAAATGGGAGGTTTGGGGATTTCAAATGATGCATGATGAAAAGTCTATTCAAATTTCTCTCCACACAATTTCTGTGAGGATAAACTTTTCAATAAAAAATGCTCACAACAATTGCAAAGCGCTTTATGTCTCTGGTCTTTGAAAGATAATAAAGATTACTTACTTAATTTGTAAAATATATATATTTTTCTTTTCAAATACACGTATACTTAGAAAAACTACTAGATGAAGACAGCAGGTTCACAAAAACAAAATCAACCAGCTTTAAGTTAAGTTTCTAGCTTTAAGTCTCCTGCTCCAGACCTGTTGAAACATATCAAGGTCTCTTCTTTCAATCGTCTGGTATAGAAGAAAAAAGTAACTTATCATAACTCCCTGATGTGAAGGTCCAGTCCCTCGCAGACTGCATTAGCGCCACCCTCGAGGACACAGCTCTTTCTACTTCAGATTTATGTCCACTTTTCCTTGACGCTGCCCCCGCCGTGTCGGCCGCTCGCAGCCAAAGACTTGTGGCACAAATTCATCTCGCCGCCTAAATAAACTCCAAATGAAGTTTCATTAATATGGCCAAGGTGGGACAAAAATGAGGAGGTAAGTTTACTTTAGATGTAAATAAGACAGTCACTCCAAGGATAAGAGGAGGAGGAGGTCGCGGGGAAACGGCCGCCGCGGAGGCTGAGCAGCGGGTAATGGATGTGAAGTACGGGCTTTTTAGATTAAAGCTGCCAGGCTCTGCATTATTCATCATTTAGAAACTTTTGGACACTTTGCTATTGATAAATCATGATGTACTTAAAAGACATACTCAGTATGATGCAAACTTACTTAAAACACTGTTCCCTCATCAACAACAGTTGTTTTAGCATTTAAAATGGCACGATACTCGAAAACAAAATACAATCAATATGACTGAGTCAATTGAGTCATTATGACTCAAAACTTGCTTTTTTCAGCTCAATAGCGTTTGGCTTTTGACCGGTGGAAGCTCTCTACCAATGCACAATCTGTGTCTTTTAAACATAATATTGAACATATAAACTATTAGTAGGAACCAAAGAATATAGTAGCATGCATTCCCCTGCTGCTGCCGCTGCTGCCTGCTGCTGCCTGCTGCTGCCTGCTGCTTCCTGCTGCTGCAGCTGCGGCGGCTGCTGCTGCCTGCTGCTAAAGACAGTGAAACTGGGGGACGTTTAGCAGAGACAAACAACAAACAACAAACAAAAAGAGAAGCAGGGTGTCATGTTGCACAGTAATGAGGTGAAATGTTTACACAACAAGGTGCGCTGTGATTGGCTCTGGTCTTCTCTTTTTCATATTTTCATATTTTTTTGCCTCAACATTTATTTGTTGACAAAAATACAGTTCTATTTCGTCGACATTTAAATAATTCTTAGGTCATTCTTTAAACAAATGTAACACTCAATAAAGCTCAAAAGATGCATTTGCTGTCATCACCATGACTCTGCTTCAGTCTGCGGCTCACATTGTTCCGTGAGCAGCAGAGACGTCTCCACAGAACATCTGCTTTTGTGCTGAGAGCTGCATGTGCTCGCTCTCATCACGTCACCATTCTCCTGCTCTGAGGTGCGTTCACAGACCCTGGGGAACCTGAGCGCTCCATCTGCCAGACTTTACCCACTCTATTGATGCAATGTCTCTTGTCTGAATGAAGCAGTAGGTCTTTCCTTCTAGCTGCTGTCAGACTGTACAATGAGAACTGCTGAGCCTGCAAATGTCATTCATCTGTAAAGAAGTAAGTGTAATGTGCAACTTCAGAATGTCCACTGAATGTCACTTTACTGTATCTACTGATTACCCTGCCCTATATGTACAGTATATAACTTTGCACCATAAATATATATATTTTTCTTTTGAAGGACTGTTACTGCAGCATTTTGACTGCCTTAAAACAAGATTTGTCAATGGAACAAGCAAAATTTTCTTGTTTTAAAATGATACAAGAAATTTCTCTGTTTTAAGACCGTCAGAATGTACTCAAATTAAGATGAAACACTTGATTGACTCATATTTTGTAATGTTTTTGCAGTGTAGCTTTGAATTGGATGAACAATAGTTTAGCAGTTTCAATAATATCCACAAAACTATTTCAAAGCGAGTGACTTTATAAGGCCAAATTTATTATATTAAAAAATTCACACAATGATAAACTCAAAAAAAGACAAAAACGTGACAACACATCTAGCATTTTGCTGTATCGTGACGCAAAAGTACAATTTGCACATAAAAACATCCCCAAATGTCCTCCTCATTCACTCTGACATATCCCCATCTGCCCCTGCTGCATTAGCGCATATTAAAGTCCACATTATTTTAGCTAAACCAGAATATGTAAGTAGAATGTAAGGCAGGTTAATCCACTTGCAAACATCTAACCTTCTATGGCTGCTTAATCCATTCACGTAGACTTTATATAAAAACAATATTAATAATTGTAGCATGTCTCCAGCGCAGATGGGCAGATGGGTTTTTTTAATAATGGAATCTGCTTGTGTGTTATTCAAAGTATTACAATGGCATTTTCTAATCGTGACTCCTGACCCCACACGTGGGCCCCGAGGACGGCTCCCGTTGGTAAATCCACGCTCCTGGAAACATATTAGGATTAGTTTT